AAACAGTAAATTGGCGCTAATTGAAAGTAAGCGCTTTATAAACAAAAAATAACTTACTTAATCGAAATTAATAACATGTCTATATATATGAGAGAACACGTGCTTAAACACACAAACGTACTCACACACCTAATTTGTCAACACCCAACAAACATAAGTAACTTTTTGCAAACTTCTGAACATTTTTAACAAACGAGACCATTTTCCATATTTTTTTTCGAATTTCTTGTAGATTAAACCTTCCTTCACTGTAGCCTTTTCTATACAAAATTTTTTAACAATACGCTTTATTCTTAAATTGAGGAAAAAGTTTTAAAAAATTGTGAGCACAGCTATTTCTCAACTTGAGCTTTAATTTGACTCAAGTCTAAAAGTTTATTGGGCATAACCCCACACGCCCGCTACCGCAGAGGCACAGTGACACTTCAAAGTGACGCGCAGCAACACCAAGCGAGTAGAACCTGTTAAAAATTCTGCCCGAACGAGAGCGAAGCTTTGATGTTGAGCTACAGAGAAATGCATGTTAATTTAATATATTTATGTATGTGTGTATATGTCTGCGGCCAAGTTGGTTACTAAGTACACGTATTTGTTGTTAAACTGACAAATTTTTACTGTTTACCGTCGAACGTGAATAGCTGCTAGGGCAAACAATGGTGAGCGGTAAAGATCAAAAAACAATTTTAAATCGACAAAAGCGAAGAAAAAGGTAAGAAAAAGCAGCAGCGACGACGCGTAGGACAACGGTGTTGGATATAGCAGCGATAACTACAGCGACGACTTACTTAATCGATGCGGCTTTGTGATTCGAGAAAAGCTAAACAATAACAAATATAGATATAAAATAACAACAACAAAAAAACAACACAACGTGATAAATATGTATGAAATGGCAACGTAGCGCAACGAATCTAAAGCGAGTGTACTGGATGGAAGTGCCTCTAGTTGCTAGAAGCAGAAGTTTAAATGAATGTGCGCTTGTTTCTGTGTATGTGTGTGGTAAAGCATGAGATGACTTTTGAGGTTGCAGCTGAATTGCTGGGCGTTTGCATTGATGTGAAAACAACTGTTAAAATATCTGTGACGAAACGTTTTTTTTTTCGATTTTACCCGCCTCAAACGAGTCGCTGCCTACTGCAGACGCGCATATACAGAGGGGAGGCAGACAATTTCATATCATTTCATTATTCTCGTTTTTTTTTTGTTTTTGCACAAATCATTCTTGACAGCGGCAATATGGTGAAGTCACTACTCGCACAAGTGCTGTTTAGCATCACAATGCGAGGATACAAGCATATGAATAATTTTGACACGTAACGGCATACACGCGCACATACACATACACAATTTATATATGCATATGTGTGTGTGTATGTTTTGTGGTACGCGCTTAAGTGCGGAGGGTTCAAACTCACCGCAGCCAGCAACCGCAGCAAATCGCTCCTGTTTACACGCAGGATAACACAGCAGCAAAAAAAAAAACACAGCAGTAAAACCAACAGCAATAGCAACAGTTTACGAATTGTCATATACAAAATGGTTTTTCAATTAGTATTACCAACATAGCACGGCGCCATGAGTGCGCATGCGCAAGGCAGCCATACAGGCGAGATATGTAAACTAACAAATGGCGATACAGACAATGCAGTTGGCAATGCAAAAGTCATGCTTCTATGCCCACCAAACATGTCAAAATTATTTATTACATCACAAACCCAGATCATTTGAGGCGACCCCTTAGCAAAAAACAACAACTAAAGTAGACAACAGAAACAAAACCAACAAGCAAATTGTATAAAAAAAAAACACGGTGGTAATAAAATTCCAACTCATAGCATTGCTGGCGCTTTATTGTCACACAGGATAATAAAGGGAAGTAGTCAGGATGGCAGCAAACCAATGAACACAGTACTGGCCATAGAAAAAGCTATATACATACATAATTGCGTGGAATTATGAGTGGTAAAAATATACGTATATATATTTATGGGAAGTTATTTTTATTGTTTACAGTGTGTTTGTTTTGGCTTATATATCGATATTTATATTATATTATATTTGAGAATATGGTAATCTTCGGAAATTTTAAGTTGACCCGGCAAATACAATCGGAGGCATGAACCTATTTATAAGACTTTTTTAACTTAGTGTGATCGGCTCACAAAACTTCAAATGTGTTTTTCTCGAAACACCGTTTTCAAACTCGGTAAGAAAAATTTCACCGAAATGGCTGGAGCAATTGACCTCAAATTTCACACGACCTTCTGAGATATATGTATCATTTATATAAGGAATAAGGTTTCTGCTAATAATTTCCATTATTTGAGCTGTTCTGAATAGTAAATTTTTTAACAAAAAACGACTTTCTTGAAAAGGCGCCATTTTGTTAAAAATCAACATTTCAACGAGTCTTTTGATCATTACCTGATCTTATATATAGTAAAAATAAATTTATTTGATTTATTTTTTGATAATTTTAAATAGAAAAATGTTCCTCATACAAAATTTTGCAAAATGAATTATTAAAATTCTTTCATTTTTTTAGTGCATGGCAGCATTTTCTCTCAAATAAATTTGTTTAAATTTTCTGTTAAAATTCGTTTTCGACACAGGTCAAAAATACTTTGTAAGATTAATATTTTGAGTCACTGTACTTGTATATTTGTTTTTCGCTTTTGTGTGGCCGCAAATACTTTTAGATACCACTGGATCTGTCAGCTCAAAAACTAGTGTGCGCGTTATCAAAAACACGCGATCAAACATAAAGTAGTAGCAATAAAAAATACAAATACATGAAAATATTAAGTGTCACCCGAGAACATGGTGGACGTCAACTAGCTCAGAGTCCGTAATATGCATGCATACATATGTACATATAAAATTCGTGTTCACACGTAGCTATTCTTTAGGAGTATCCTCGTCACTCTGCTTATTTAAATATTGTCAAATGTTGTGGAGCTCAACATAATGGCTTCAGTCACTCAATGTTTGTCGTTTTCTAGAACTTTCAGTGCGTAAGATTTTGTTTTCGGCTTAAAGTTTTAGTAAATCAAAGTTAGAGGGCAACCCTTATTGGGTTCTTTATCAGCTTTTCTATAACATAAAACAACCTCACTTAATCAAAAAAGTAAATCTGAAAAGCTATACACAATTCTTTAAAATCTCATGGCATTGTACTCCTAATATCAGATACTTAGTGACTTATATTTGGTAATTTAATCTAATGAATCTTCTAGGAGATCTTTAAAAAATTATAAAAGGTGTATTCATTACTTTTTAAAGAAATGAGATCGTTCCTTCATAGTTTTGAGCACTAAGAAAACTGATTCCTTAATAATATAGAGAAGTCTATTATATGGGGGAACAATGTATATATGTATTGCACTAATATACATAAATAATAAATAAATACAATACATAAAAAAAACTTTGAAATATTTTCAACCCCATTTAGCTAATGGTCGAAACATCATAAATAACGCTGAGCGCCAATTATAAAAATAAAAATAAAAAATTTAAAAATATATAAAAGTATAAAAAATTAAAAACATAAATATATATAAAAATTCAAAGGCAACACACAAATATAAAAACAAATTTATAACCTACCAGAAATTTGAATATTTACGACTGAATTTGCTACTTTAAATGTGTGTCGATAACACAAAATTCGTTATTAGCATTTAAGTATAAAATATTATATTTTGAACTTTAAAATCCGCCGATGCAATAACCGCGCCAAGTGATTTCCAGCAAAAGTCAACAACATTTCCAAATGTAATTAACATAAAAAGTATCGAATTTATGTTCCAATTTGAATTTAATGAAATGTTTAAAGCCAAAAGCCTATTGTTGTCCCATTTTATGGGTTTAAGTATGTGTTTTCTTATAAGAATCGCCAGAGCAACTATTGATATATATATATATATATCCTACTCATTATATCTTATATACCTCTCATAACTGTATAATAAAGACATTGAGCGCCCTAGAGTCAACTTATAATTTTCCGAATAACTACCGTTACTTTGTGTAAATAGTTTAATGTACTTCGTTTTACCACCTTCGGAATATTCGCATAATCTCATATACATATGTACATATACTCTAGCTTATTACGATTTTACATGCACAATTATACATTTCTATGAAGTCTAGACCTCTGCTCTTCGTTTAAGCCAAGATTAACATTTTCGTTTGTTTAGCAAAGTTTGTGCAACATTTAGCTGCTTCATAAATATTCGTAATCCTTTATGAAGCTAATAAAGAAACTCTTACACATGAGAAGATTAAACCATAAACAACAACTAAACCATAAACAACAACTAAATGAGGAATCAACGACTTCGCCAACTTCACATGCCACATAAAAATCACGAACGCTGCCGACGGCTAAATGCCAATGTTCTAATGAATATGCAGTGATTCCACAGTTATACCATAAATTTATGTCTTTGCTCTCTCTCTTACTCATTCTCTATTGCAGAAAACATAAATTTATAACAGTTGTATTTCTTAACGGAATTGAGCTTGGTTATATTAATGATAAAAAATTGTCTTATCGTTCGGGAGTTACAATCGCTGATTTGACAACAATTTTTTTTATAAAACTGTTATTTTTATTTAGAAGTCTTCGCATTATTTCGTTTATGACATCACGACGAAAATATATTTCTGTCAAACGCACTCCAAAAAAGTAACTGTAACAAACCATAGTAAACTCTATTTTTATCGTTCTTGTTTTTCTTACTCCTTCTGTGTTTCTATACGGACTTACATTTCTAGTTTAGAAGTGGCTGAATCCAAATGACTTTTCAACGAGCTGCCATTTCCGAACATTAACCAATTCATTTTAAATTAACCACAATTTTAACTTAATACCGGCTAAGAATTCCCAAAATCCCTCTTATTTACAGATCGCCTTCGATTTATATTTATTTTCGCCACTAAATAAATTCACAATATAAAATACTAAATATTTCTTTATCTTCTTATTACAGACTGAGCTGCGTTCATGCGCGGCGTGTGGGGAGCCAATCTCGGATCGGTTTTTTCTCGAGGTTGGCGGTTGTTCGTGGCATGCCACCTGTTTGCGCTGCTGCATCTGTCAATGCCCGCTCGACCGACAGCAATCGTGTTTCATCCGCGAACGGCAAGTCTATTGTAAAGCAGACTATGGCAAGTAAGTATGAATCGGCAGTGCAAAAGAGAATTACAAACACATACATATGTATGGTATATGAACATATGTAGAGATATAAATTTATGTGCATACCCATATACAATAAATTCCATGTTTGTGCTAAAAAGTATGTAACTGTGTAGTGTGGGAATTTATTAAGGCAAAATAGGTATCATGCCGAAAGTGTCGAGATTTGGTTTTTTTATTTTTATATAATATATCAATTGAAAAAAATATATTATATTACTATATTTGGCATTTAAAATTTTGTATAATTAATGTATATATTTTTTAACCGCTATTTTATTTGGAACTTGTCCTTCTGACCCCTAAGGAAATAAAGTGTGCAAAAACTAGCATATCTTCAGATTTCAAATTTATATTTTACATATATTTTTAATACAACAGAAATATACATATATATATCAAAGATATACATATGTAGATTTATGTATATGAAATATGAAAATACTCTTGGGGTGATATTTTTAACAAAAAAAAATTTGTGAGCTTAAAGTTAAATTATACTTAAAAATGGGACGATTGTTTACGCTGCAAAAAATTTGTTCAGCGATTTTTACAATAAAAAAATTTTAACAAAGAGTTTGTTTGAAATTTGTGTTTCCAATGGAATTACGGCTACGTAATCGTTGAAAATTTTGCAAAAGTGTTTTGGGGAGTTGAGTGACATCAAGCATTCAGCGAAGGTCGTGAAGTCATCGAAAACTTGCGAGTCGTCCATTCACCTCTGTTAAAGACGAAAATATCGAACAAGTAGTCGTTGTATTGGCATCAGAGAGATAGCAGAGAATATCGACATCTACGGATCGACTTGGGTATTAAGCCTATCAATCCCAGATAGCTGATGACCCAACATAGATCAAACGCTTCATTACTGGTGACGAGACGTTGATTTATGAATATGACGTCGAAACTGTCCAACAATCTAGCGAATGGCGCTCCAAAAATTAACCGATACCGAAATTCGCTGAAGACCATACCAGTCGAAGGTTATTAAGCTTATGTGTATGGAACAATGTATTAAACGTTGGCACGCTTGTATCAGCTTAGGAATCTATTTTACAAGTTATAATAAAGATTTTTATTGAAATACGTGAAAATTTTTATATATTTTTACAGTTCGGATCAAATTTGATCAGAAGTTATATCGCACTTTTTCGATTGTAAAACTTCAAATCTCAAGAAATTTGTAAAATAATTTTATTTTTTCAAAAAATTTTTTTTTTGTAAATGTATACTGAAAGTATTTTTAATTAGTTAAAATTTTTCGCTTTCTGCGGAAAATTTGAATTATAAAACTACAAAGAAATTAAGATTTTGAATTTGATTTTGTTTTTTTTTTTTTGGGAATTTCTTTGAAAATTATTGTCAAACTTTCGGTAAAATTTCACTTCAGCGAATTGTTTATGCTTTAATTGGTATGTGTTTTCATAAGTGACTGGACAAATATATTAGAAACAACAGCTACAAACAGAAAACATTCAATAATTATCATTGTTCGTGATATTTGTATGCATTTATATTTATGTCACCTTAAAAGGAAACCATATACTCAGGTGTCAGGTAAATATTTTCCCACACTCCCTAAAATATAAACGAGTTAATACTATATATACATATGTACATGCATACATTTATGTATATGCCAAAAGTATGATATGAAAATATTATCTAAACTTTTAAATGTAACGCAGCTAAGAGCATTTGATTCAACACTTTAAGCTTAAAAATAAATAAGAACGCAAAGAAATAAAATAAACACAAAAACTTATATAAATATATACATACACACGCATGCTTGTGTGTGGAAGTGTAAAGAAAACAAAAGCAAAAACAAAATAATATTAAATGCAAAGCTAGTAATGTTCATAAAGTAGATTTTCGCTTCGATTTGCCTTTCATTCGCTTCAACTACTATGTGTGCTTGTTTATTTTTGTTTTTGTATTAAGCATGTTTATTTAACTTTATTTTTCGTGTTTTTTCACACACTATCTATCTACTGTCACTTTGAATTTTCAATTCCATTGAGTGGCATGAGTTGGTACAATTACGCTCCGTCGCGGAAGGTGTCCCCAAAGTCGGCGGCTGCGCCTCTGCTGCGACCTTTACAGCAGCAATGTCCCCACGGACCAGTGGACTACAACCGAGCAATCGCACACACACATACACACGTTTGTTTGTATGTATAAACAATGACACATATGTACCTGCCGAGTTGACTGCTGGGCCAAGGCAGTAAGGCAGTGCTCCAAGCAGTGCACGCTTGTTGTTGTACTAAAAGAGATGAAACGAAAATGACTGATGCTGTTGTAAAAATATTTATTTTTCAAGCTAAGAATTTTAAGTTGACTGTTGTTGTCATTCATGCTGCTGATATCGATGGTGTTGCTGTTGTTGTTGTTGCACAAACGTGACTGTCGCACTAAACAAGCGACCAACTAAGAATAACACAGCATAAATATTGTTGCTTTAATATTCGCTTTTTTCCAACTTCTATCTATAAGATACACAATCGAGTCATTGATGCAGATGTCGCCAAAGCGATTGAGCGCATACACACGCACCATCGAATGTAGCTGCCAGCTGAGGTGTACGCTGCCGAATCCGGATCGGCGCATTATAAACTGCAGACTCATTTCGAAAAGTGTCAAGTGTGACGAGTTGGACAGTGTTGAACAGTGTTGAACATAAATACACAATATGCATAGGTGTGTGTGTGCGCTTGTAGGCCAAAATGTCAATACAGACACACATACTCACGCACTCACAACGCAATTCAGCGCACTCACTCATGCCACTTCCGGTGACAAGTGCGCGCACTTTGCGCCTCAGTCAGCCTGAATTGAATGCCGCGACATGATTTGCTGAATCTCAAATGCAACACACACACACAGCACATAACTGTTGTTATACGTATAGACAGCCACTTGAGCTTTACGTTGCTGCTTAAAGCTTAAGCTAAACACTTTAACTTTTTAACCAAACACACTTAATGGCGTGCATTGAATTTAATCCGCGTCTTAACGCCTTAAAGTAGACTGCATGCACTTAAACTAATTTTACTTTGTCACTAACATTTGATTTGTACTTTGACATACTTATGGCTTTGTTTTCATCTATTTCTGTTGCTTTTCAGACACTTCGGCGCAAAATGCTCAAAATGCTGTCGTGGCATCTCCGCTACGGATTGGGTGCGTCGCGCGCGTGACCTCGTCTTCCACTTGGCGTGTTTCGCGTGCGATCAGTGCGGACGGCAACTCTCCACCGGCGAACAATTTGCTCTGATCGACGATCGGGTGCTGTGTAAAGCGCATTACCTGGAAACGGTTGAGGGTGGCACCACATCAAGTGACGGTAAGTGCAAGAAATATCACAAAATTTTTATTTAGAATCAATTTAGATCGTTGCCGTAAAAAGTAAAAAGGTATTGTCTCATTGTTAAGCAATTCTTTTGTGATCTCTACTCTGAGTCGATTTTGGCAAAAGAGTCAGGTCTTTTAGTATGTAAATATTAAAATATTAACCAAAATGTGTTGAGTCTATTCATATGAGGTGTTATGATTCTCTTATGCCTACGTGACAATTTTCAAGCACCACCCAGATATTTGTGTTCGTAATAATGTTGACTTTCCGAAACAAACTACAATAGTTTTTCAATTTCTTTTCCCACGGTAAAAATCGCCAAACATGTTCAAGATTACCGACAGACTTCCAAAAAGAAAAACTTTGGGCTATGATTTTGAGTGGAGATGTGCTATTTTTTAATATTTTCCTTTAAAGCATTCTAAATGTGCTAGCTTAAAGTATTCGAAGATTCTAAAATTGCATTTTAAACCAGTCTATGTTCAACTTAGTACAGCTGCCTGGCATAATCGGCATTATTGTCACACAAGTGCCCGCTCACTTTAAGGCTTAGAAAGCGGTAAGCTTTGGCACCACTTGCCAAAGTAGACAGTAATTCATGTAACGATTATTGAGGCCGAATTATTGTGGCAATGACAAAAGTGCAGGCATAACCACACATACACACAAATATGCTAACACCTCTTAACACACACACTTCCACATGCTGAACTCAAATATAAAACACAAGCGAAACAATTCGAAAAGCTCGAACGGTAGCCGTGACGAATTCGGTGTAAATGCCTTGAAAAGCCACTGCCAACGGATGTGTAGAGTCTGTGGCAGCAGACTCCATCAAAAACAAAAAAACAAAAAATTGACTGAACTGCAGTCGAATATTTAGGCTGCCTGGATGGGTTGCGACGACTGTGGAATACAAAAACCAAAACACTCTCACATTTCAAACACGTACACATATTTAGGATGACAACATCGGTAGCTCGCATCTCTGGCAAGAAGAATTGACTCGCTGACTATGCAACCACACACTTCTGTACGCACATCCATGCGGCTTGCAAGCACAATATGGCCAAAGAATGCATGTATGTGTGCGTGCATGTGCTATGCAGTGTGTGTTTGTGTATTTGTTGGCTTCTGCACTCGTCTGGTCGCCACGTTTGACTAATAAGAACCATGTCAAAACAACGCATGTCAAATGTGACGTCACAAACAAGCTAACGGTTGAAAACGTTGACACCCAAGTGCATCCACATACATCTACACACATATTCACACACACACACTTGTATTTGTTTTATGAGCTCCTGCATTGACATGTCTGCCATGAAATATGCATGCGCCAACAGCCGTGGTTTTTGCTGTGGTTCACAGAAGGGCAGTGCAGCACACTCGGTGTTTATGCAACTTCCACAGGCTGGCAGCATTGCCCTGCAACTTTTGCGTTTCGCCCCGTTGCACTATAGCGTCTGGGCGCCGCTGACTTTTAAGCTCTAAATCGCATGCGATTGCATGGTTTTTAGTCAGGCAAAAACAAAAGCAATCAAAGCACTCGAAGGAACAATATTGTCACAAATGTATACACACCCAAGAACATATACAAGCAAATATATATATATATATATGTGTGTATGTTTTAAGGGCTACAACAGTTTGTGTCAACTTTACCAACAGTTTGCTCAAACTCAAGTACATGTATGTATGTATGGAAGCCTTCTAATACACATATTACTTAATAGCGCTTAGTATCCTCCAGGCCTAGCCATATACTTAGGCACTCGTATTATCATATTTGTTTGTAATAGGGGCCTACAAAAGCTTAAGTTTTATGGCATTTGCTTCTATGCCACTTTGCCATTTTGCTGGTTGAGTGCAATAATTTTGGGTTTAAACGTTGCAACGTGGTGTGCTTAAATGTCCCCAAGGCAACGGCAGTGCTTAAATGCAATTTTAAGTGGTTCTCTTTAGAGACTTTAAGTCTTTAGTAGCTTAAAAGAGTAGCAGCTAAAGTGTTGGAGTAATATAAATCTATGCACTTTAAGTTAAAATTGAAAACAAACAGAAAAAACGTTAACTTCGGCTGCATCGAAGCTCTAATACCCTTCACACTTGCATTTTTATAGCAGAAAGGAGTATAAAAAATCTTTATCGTGCTTTTGATCGGTCAGCTTATATGGCAGCTATATGCTAAATGGTATTGGTCTGATCTGAACAACTTCAACGGAGATTGCACCATTGCCTTAGGCATTAATCCGTACCAAATTTTTTAAAGATATCTCGTCAAATGACAAAGTTTTCCATACAAGCACTTGATTTCGATCCTTCAGTTTGTTTGGCAGCTATATGCTACAGTGATCCGATATAAGCGGTTCAAATGAGCAGTGTCTTCGTAAGAAAAGTAGGTGTGCAAAATTTCTTGTCGAAAAACTGAGCGACTAGTTCACATATATACAGACGGATAGACAGACATAGCTAAATCGGCTCAGCTCGGCATGCTGATCAATTATACGAGTATATATACTCCGACGTTTTCTTTTTGGTGTTCCAAACTTCTTGGTAAACTTATTATACCATACTTGGGGCATAAAAAATGGTTTCTTCCATCAAATGTTTAGTTTGTAAACTCTATTTGGAGTTTCAACTGATATTGTCACATAACTAAAATAATATCTCTTGTAAGAAACCATATACGATATGAAACTTGGCCAAATATAATATTTGATAAAATTTGACCCAGACTGACAAAAAAAAACAACATTTTCAAAATCACAACTCTTTGTTCGCGCCTTCAAAATAGACTCCTAAACTAATACAATCCTGCTAACGCTTAATCCACTTTTCCATACACTTAAGCTTAATAAGCCTCGGCTGGGATGGCCTTTCGTGCTTTCCGTTTTCAATGACTTCACGACCTTCAGTGAATGCTTTGTGCCACACGAATATTCGTGCTCGTGATAAAAGGAATCCTCAAAACACTTCTGCAACATTTTCAATGATTCTGTAGATGCGATTCCATTGGAAACACAAAATTTTAGCAAACTCGTTATTCCACTTTTATTCCATGGTAAAAATCGCCAGGCAAACATTTTGCGTCGTGAACTGACATATGAAGATCAGACTTCACACGAACATAGAAAAAGATTGTATCCGTCTAGGTAAAAATTTTGTATCGATTCGGTTTTCTCGCTCAGCTTAAATGGATCAGTACTAGTCAAGTTTCATAATATAAAATCAGTGCTACTGTGTATTTTAGCTTTTCTTTGTGCTTCAGCATCCTTATTTCTATGAAGTGGTAAGTAGATGATTGTAATCTGATTAAGGTCATTGTTCCAAGAGATCCATGTCTATTGCTCGACTATATTGATTGGCTGGATTTGAAATTGTAATTAAAGATGAAGGTCCCCACAACAAAACTCATTTTCCTAAATGACACATGTACATACTCGTACTCCGCCAGGACATTGCAAGTTATGGTTTTTCAACGTCATAAAGTAAAACAAAGTATCGAAACTTTTTAACTTTCAGCAAGTCGTTCATAGGTCTATTGAGCCTAAAAAGATCTGAGCTTTCTCAGAGCCTCGCTATATTCAATATAAGGCCGAGTTAAACAACAATTCTCAGTATTGTCACTCTTGGCGATTCCACTTTTTGGGTTTTGAACCACACGCATGTTTTAAGATAACGAAAATGTCCGATCAAATGGTTGTGTAGGCTAAAAAAATTTGAAGAAATAAAAAATTTACTTACGAAAACTGATTTTAAAGTTTAAGCCTTAATTGGCCAGATCAGCATTTGTATAAAAATTAAAGCTCTGAAATATTTTACACTCACTTGAACACATATTGTATGTTCATTTGTGTATTTATGAATAATTTAGTTAAATTTCCGTCTTGTAAAGTCATGTTAACATGGCGCCACCAATAGCATTTATATAATTCCAAGGCTGGTAAAATTTCAATGAAAATCTAGTAATAACAAAAAACACAAAATATATTGTTTATTTCAATTCTTCGAATACTTGCAATCATATAATCGCACTAATAACAATTCCTCTTTAACGTTTATTTCTTTCACCGTTAATCCGCACTCGGTCACTACATTTTCGGTCATTCTACAATTTCAATAACGATGCTGCTGCCGCTTTCGCTGATAACTCTATCGATTAACTTGATTATATTGCCGCTGGCGCTCCGATCCACACACACACACGCCTATGTGTACGCTGTCCACAACAATAACAACACAATTTTTGTTGCATCACCCATTCAACGCATTAGACGGCTGTGATGGTGATGGTTATCATAAAAGTAAAACGAAACGTGTACGCACCACCTTCACCGAAGAGCAACTGCAGGTGCTGCAAGCCAACTTTCAGATCGACAGTAATCCGGATGGACAGGATTTGGAGCGCATCGCCTCGGTGACCGGTCTCAGTAAGCGTGTGACGCAAGTTTGGTTTCAGAACTCGCGAGCGCGACAGAAAAAACACATTCATGCTGGTAAGAATAAAAGTAAGTAGTTGTTGTAGTTGTAGTCGTTGTTTAGTAAAAGTAATCCTAAAGGTGTGCATTCGCATGTATGCGTGTTCGTTTGGCTGTTGTTGGCACTTAGCATAGAAATAGTTAATAGGCGACTTAAGCATTAAATTTATGTGAGTAAAATGAACCCGACAGTGAAAAGAACTGTTCAAGAGTTATTTACACTAGTATGAACGGCATACTCTACTAGTGAGTTAGACAACTAGCTTAGCAGCATCGTACGAGAAATACTTTTAAATTGCTAGTTCGACTATGTTCCTTAACACTTATTTAGGGTAGGTTAGGCTAGGTTTGATGACTGATACTCAAAATAACAATCGCACTTGAAGTCCTTTGTGAAGGCATAAAAACAGAATTCTTGTATCCGATATTATAAGTCGGCAAAGCACATTGAAGCGAAAAAAACATTTGTTTAGGCGTTTAATTTTTGTTCCCACTAATTCAGTGAAATATCATAAAGTGTGAGCTCCCAAGTGTTTAAGCCTTGACCTCGCAAACGCAAGACAAGCAAGAAAGAAGTATTAAGATGTCTTGTCTTTTTCCACACATCTTCTGCAGCTGGCATCCTGTAAGATTCTCAACCTTACAGCGTTGACGTCAATAGAGCAATGACTTGTTAGAACCCCCACAGTTTTGGGCCAGTAGGTCTGTTCTTTCCCAGCTCGTCAACTTTGCAGTCACCTGCGATCCCGCCGTGCCCTGACACCCAGGCTAGTTTATTTAAAAAGTGACTCGATGCTATTAATAACGAAGTTAGGCAAAGTTAGTCTGCTCAAAGCTAGTATCGCCGCGCTGCTACCAAAGTAGATAGTGGATGATGGAGGCTACACTCCGGACTAAATCTATCGCTACTTTAATGACAGCAACCTCGGATTGAAAACCGCTACAATAGTCAGATAGAGTGAAACTGAAGTTGATATCGAGTGCCTGCCAATATATGAGTCCACCACTTCCTACTAAGCTTTCCTGGTAAAATAACTCATTAGCAAATGGTTATATAACCGGTATTATGTTTGTTTGTTTAATTAAAACAAAATTCGGTAATATTGCTAGTTTTAGTTTCTTTAAATTTTCGTATTGACAAAGGAGAGCTCTTAATATATCGCCTTACACCACAACAAGTTCAAAAATAAGCTACTACAATACATCTGGAACTTCTAGGCATATCTAAATCATTTATAATTAAAAAAAATGTCATAAAACTAAACCAAAAGTATAGATTAACGAAATCTGGTCTCAATGTAACTAGTTTTCAATTAACCACTAATACTCACAAATAAAATTTCACCTACAGAATATTTCTGCTATTATGATTATCGTCTTTCACTTTACTTTTGGCGAGAATTGAATATTGGCTAACTATTTCTGAAAGTACGGCGCCAGTAATTTTGGTTATCATATAAATTGGAAAATATGCAAAGCCGACGGAGTCTTTGGCGATTTTAAAATATTAATTAACATAATATAAACATAAAGTGTAATTGTGTGTTGACAGTGTTGTCGGCGCTGCTAATGCCAATGATGCAATCTTGTTAAGGCGCCACAGGAAATTATGACACTTAGTAGCGGCTACCTCGAAAAATTGTATTTCCATCCTCACTGGTTGACTGCAATTAGTTGAGAGCACGAAGAGTAGGCTGAAGTAATGTTATAATAAGAAAGCTTTTTAAGCTTAGTGAAGGCTGAGCTTATATTGAGCCTTTTGAGAAACTAACGATTTTAATAAAAAAAATTTGATTCATAAATATGTCAGAAGTAAACTAACCACTTAAATATCATATATTTTCCTTGTTTTTTAACGAAAACTAACATAATATAACGGGAGATCCAAGTAGATGTCTTTTTTTTGACAGATCACGCGTGAGTAGTGTGAAGCTGTCATGTTATTTTTGTTCAGTATTGTTTGGCATTTCATCGTGGAAATACTTACGCCTTCCTCCCAAGCGACATCGCTTCGCTCTATGAGCTTTTGAAAAGTTCCAAGAAGATCCGACTTTTCGAGCCAAATTTTGTTCAGCCATGAGGCCTATTTCTGGCTCAATGGGTATGTCAACAAGCAAAATTGCCGCATTTGGGACGAAGAACAACCTGCAGAGATTCAGGAGCTGCCAATTCATTCAGAAAAAACAACGGTTTAGTGTGGTTTGTGGGCCGCTGGAATCATCGGTCCATACTTCTTCTAAAATGATACCGGTTAGAACGTGACCGTCAATGACGACCATTATCTGAAATTGAAGCTCGTGATCTCGGCGACATTTGGTTTCAACAAGACGGCGCCACTTCTCACACATTGCATCAATCAATGGATTTATTGAGAGAACACTTCGGTAAGCAGATCATTTCACGTTTGATATCGTGTGATATCAAACCATTCGACTTTTTCCTGTGGTGGGGATATGTAAAGTCTAAAGTCTGTGCGGTCAATCCCGCTTCGATATAGGCCTTGGAGCAAAACATCACGCGTGTCATTCGCCAGTTACCAGTCAAAATGCTCAAACGAGTCATCGAAAATTAGACTCAACGAATGAACCATCTGAGACGTAGCTATGGCCAAGATTTGAAAGAGATAATCTTTAAAAAATAAATACCAAAGAATGTTCTTTCGAATGATAATAAAATCTGAACTGTCAGTGTTTTTTTTATTTTTTTGTATTTAAGTAGGAAACCTCGAAATGATCACCCGTCAGTAAAAATTTTAATAACGGCATAGTGTTAACATCTGCATGAAATGTTGTTGCAATTAGTTTGCTTTCCAAATATTGAGTTTTTACTAATATAATTAAATGACAAATTTCGAAAACTTAATTTTCTAAACTGCTCTCCGCTTATATTTGCAGTGCGTGAACCCGAAGGAAGCTCATTTGCCCGCCATATTAACCTGCAGTTAACGTATTCATTTCAGAATAACGCACAGAATGCTATGCACCTGAACGGTAACTCAAAAGGATTATATCCAACGCATGGTGAGTTAAAAAAAATACATTTTTATTATACTTACTAAAACTGAAATGTATTTGTAGCGAAAAAAAATTTTGTAAGTCGGTAGTAGTTTACAAAAAAAGTGCGGTGCCGTTAAATTCTTTATTTCTTTTACTAGAGATTTGTGAAAAAGCTTGTTGATTTGAAGAATGTCGTAACACAAAAATCGAAATGTTTAGTAAATTGTTCAAAACTTGCACGCTTTGCACAATTTAGCTTTATTAAATATGTTTTAACAATTTATATTGAATTCTGGTTAGGATTATTTAATTTATTTGCCATTAGTCAGTCTAAAATTAAGTCTTTTAGAGTGTTTTCTCGCTTTTCGAATTTTTTATTTATGCCATTCTTTTTGTAAACTATCGAAATATAATTGTTTTGCAATCTATGCTAATTCTGGCATTAATATTGAACTAGAAAATCACTCAAACCATACTTTTTCAAAGAAAAAAAGACTGTATAATAGTAATTTTACTAATATATATTTGGGGAAGTTCTTATGTATATCCAAAAATTCGTGGAAAGAGTATAATTTTCGCAATTATAGTCAAATTTCGAAAGTAGTGCAAATTTATTTCATTTAGAATTGCTGTATGTTACATTTCATCGTACAAGTATATTAGCTCAACTTCACTAATAACTCACTTTCTTCCCATTTTTCTTATTTTAGAAACGTCCATGGATGAACTTTCACAGGACTCGAGTGTGCATTGCATGCAAAGTGAAGTGTGACTGGAGCATTTGAACCACCATTAAAGAAGACATATTATATATGTACATATAGATATGTTGAAAACTATTGGTGGAATCGGAGACATAGCTACACACACACATACGCTTATACACTTATGCGCTCTCCTAGGAAATCACATTTCAAAGGAATTTGTGTATAAAAGCACACAAATTTGAAAAGTTAAACCCAGTTATACACATAAAAATCAAAAAACGTCCTAACCTAGTCAAAATTATGCAAAAAAAAAATGTTATTGTAAACAAATTAAGTACGGAAATTGAAAAACGTCCAATAAAACGGCTAAATGCAAATGGTGAGCAAGCAGCGAAAATCTACGCCAAGCAATTCTTCTGACCAGCGGCCAGTATTAAACGTGAAATATATTTCATTTTTTTCGAAACTAGCAGTAAAGTAGAATTTTATTTTAGATGTAGATTTTTTTCTATACATTTTTTTTCTCAAAAACTATTCACATTTATTAAAATGCAAATTTGTTACGAAAATTTGATATAAAATAGTCAACACTCAAAATTAATTAAATGAAATTTCACTTTAATTCCAATAAATTTCAAAAACGATGAAAGTCAACCTTGAAGAGCAACACAAATCAATTCTAACTTTAGACTTAGCAAAAACACTAAATATTTATAAATCAATAGGATAATACTTATAACTACTAGTAATTATTGTGACGCAACCAGTTCAATTGAAGGCCACTGCTGTCGGCCGTTGTGTGCACGCTCAAAGTGTGCTAGTAGACACATACACATATGGTACACACACATAAATCTGTATGTAGTACGAAAACACATGCGCCGGCGCAGTGGTGTTATTTCCATGTAAGAAAGTTAACTTGCATTAACTCTAACATTCCTTAAAAGTAATTTAAGATTTCATTAGCATATACTTTAAATCAATTATAACTGTTAAGTTTAGCAAAACAAACAAACCAACAAAGAGTAAATACATACAAGTGCATATAAATGCATATGTATGTACATATAATTAACTAAGACCCTGTATATAATACCTCGTTTGCACCTGAAAAAAAATCATAAAAATTAAAAAAATATTCACACATACACATTTATGATCTGCGTATATTTAGTTTTGTATATAGTTGAGCTAGTGGCTACGCCTAATGTTAGTTAATAAAATTAAATTAATATTTTTCCTCAAATAAATATTTTATACTTATTTATAGAAATATGTATAGCTGTGTATGTACGTTATGCATAATCACTTTGACTTACACAGCCTGCTCTTGTACGTTTGTATGTATTGAAGCTTCGTATCGCCTTTCTGAAATATACCCTAAGCTATTGTAAAATATTTAATGTACATACATATGGTACATACATACTTAGAAGTGTATGTTAATTACTTATATTGTATTATTAGAAATTGTTATTGTTTATTTCTTGTTTTTTAAATTTGTAAACAAATCAAAATATATACTCTAACTTATATTTCAGTTGAACTAAATAAATTACAGAAATGTAAAAATATAAGCATAAATTGTAAATTGAGTATGCATACTTGCCAATATTAAAAGTAAACAAAATACTAAACAAATTATAAAGAATCTAACAGCTAGTTAACACAAATTATAAAATATAAAATTAAATACAGAAAAAAAACATTAAAAGAATTTTTAAAAGAAAAATTTAACAAATGTGTTTTTGTTATTTTATAAAGATTTTTTTCGGATACTATTCTCAGAGTTGGGCTCAAATTATTCTCAAATCGTGCATAACCTCACATTTCCAAATGTGAGTGATAGGCTCTCCGCACTATATACTTTTGATGTTGCAGCTACTGCATTGCCTACTTCATAATTTGATTTTCTGCTTTCTCACACGGCATTTTCTATTTAAAATCTTGTTCAATTCATCTTGAGAGATTGTAACCTCCATAATAAATTCTAATATATACCAATGTCTGTAAGTAAATATTTGGCTTATATACATATATACATCTGATCTAATTTGACCCGCACTAGTCCATTTGAACTACGGATACCGAATCGAAACAATTATATTTTCCTAGATTGGTTCAATCTTTCTTAATGTTCGTGTAAAGTTTGTTCTCCATATGTCAAGTAGTGTATATTTGGCAGCTGTTTGTTTAAAACGCAAAAGATTTGTTTGACGATTTTTGCCATATAAAACATGAACAATGAATTTGCTTGAAATTTTGTGTTTCCAAAGGAAACGCGGCTACATGATCATTTAATGGAGTCTATTTTATAACGAACACAATTATTTAAGTGGCGCAAAGCATGCAGTGCTTTCATTGAACTTGCCTTATGCGAGTGGATGGACGCCTCTCTTAATAACGATAACATCGAAAAAGTTAAAGAAACTTGTTTGAAATCATCGTGTTGGCATCAGAGAGATAGCAGACGGACTCAACATCTCTTATGGATCGGCTCAACACATTTTGGTGAATGTTTTGGGTATAAAGTGTGTAAATTCTAGACACGTACTAAATGACCTGAACCTTTTGCAGTAACTACGCCGAATAGAGGTTGCAAAAGATGTGCTTGACAATGCAGCTGAGGACCCTACATTCATCAAATACATAATTAGTGGTGACGAGACTTGTAACAAGTATATGGAAAATTGGATTAAGCGTTGGCGTGCTTGTATTGGTTAAGAAGTTTATTTTGTAGGCGATAATAAAGATTTTTATTAAATTCAGTAAAATATCGATTTTTTTGTCAGTCCGGGTAAAATTTTATCAGATGTATATCACAAGTGAATTTATCAGCATCTTGAAATCGCCAGCAACTAAAGATTTTGCCATCTAAGCTAGTGATTTGGCTAGAGATTGTGTCAGTGATTGACGTGCTATGTTGCTCTAATAGGAGATTGTTGCTCTTTGCATCCCAGAATACTTACGCTCTTTAGCTTTGCGTTCACACACACTCAGCCAGAACCCATTTTTAATTAGGTAGGTAGGTAGTAATGCTGCCACAATGAACTCAATTAGCGCAGGATGCGCCATTTTGATGCACTATCGTAGGCCCTTATAAACTTGCTATCCCGTTTCATCGTTGCGCTCAAACCATTTGGTGCTCTCAACAAAACTACTTATGTATATCCGTAATGCTTTTTGTGGTTAGCCAATCGAGGTTTGGTTGCTGTTGGATTCCAATTTATTTATGTCTTCTGTGTTTAAAGACAGTAGAAAATTTCTCTACTCAACAGAATTAGAAGTTTGTAACGAAGTTCATTCTTGTATTTGCATAATACGGAATTTAAAAAAGTATATACCTACATCCATTTAGGTACACATCACCTCCTTTATTTTTTATGAGATTTTTAATGCCGATTAACAGCCAACCGATTATCCGACCTATTTAATATGAACTTATCTCTTAGATGTATGCCAATGTGATATTCGTCAAAATAATCAATGGACTTTTGCAGTCTCTTAAACAGTTCAACAAATTTATAAGAAATTAGGACAGATCCTCTCCCCAAACAAAAGCGTTCCAAATCACTATAATATCATTCGAAGACAACCAAAGTAAAAAATATTTTCTTTTTAATATATTTAATTTTATTTCAGCACTTATTTGAATCTGAAAATCGAATTTTCTCACAGAAAGAAATTTATTTATTTTCTACTAACTCCATTGATCGATTGCCTGTGACATTAGTAAACGATTTAGCCTAAATAGACAACTTTTGTACGCCGAACTGACATTTCGTATAAAATTCAGTTCACATCCGGTCGAAGGTGCATATGAATGTGTATATATCATTTCTTATAGTATTTATTTTTCATTGACTCATCATCACTTTACAACGCTTGCAAAAACAACAACAAATGAAACAACCACTGCACTCATTGTACCCTTTTAGGCAACGTAGACTTGGTGTCTTCATTCTCAGCTTATAAAAGTGGTAATATTAAGTAAAAGTATCTCTTAGGTTGCAAGTCATGCGGATGAATTCTAATGTACTCAACAACAAACTGAAGTTTTCAACAACACGATCAACAACGATCTGCCTGCATTCGATGCGGCGTGTAAAGGCAACAACGGCGGTCGGTATTTATTTTATTTTAATTGAATTATAAGCCTAGATTATGCGAAGATTTCCTGCTGACTGCCCAACTGGTTGTGCGATCACTGGCAAAGTGTACGCATACATACACACACGCTTACTCAGGAATGAGCAGATTGAGCGGCAGTAAGAAGAGTGTTAAAAGGTAACCTCAAACGCTGCGCATTCGCATCCGTTGTGCCAAGTGATTTTCAATAACAGCGCTGCGTATCTCTGGTCGTGAGTATGCAGATACAACTTTGTAAAGGAAATATGTATGTATGTATGTACGCTTGTAGTCTTGTTTTCTGTTTTTGGAAACAGCTGGACAGGCATGCTGGATATTTGCGAATCAATTTGTGAATAAACAACACAATCGCGCGATCATCAACTTAAATATTATTGATCAATGCTCATTGCGTTCAATAACGAAGATGAGTTCGACTGCTACGACAGTCAACGGTTTGCAACATCAGTGATCAAATGAGTATACGAGTTGCGTAAACGACCCAAACGATCGCTGCGCGTATGGTCCACATGCACATAATGCCTTTGATACCCTTAATATACTTTTATCGATAATGGACACCAATCTTATATAATGTGAAAATAGAGAACATTTTTCTGAAAAAAGATTATCAATGTCCTCAAGTCACTATAGCAAGACACTATGGGATATATGCGGAAGGTCTTACCTTACCACATAAACACAATATATATGCATCTATCTGTGAATCTGTCTTTCAATGAATCATATATAATATATTATATATTACCATATATAGCCTCTCAATTTGAATTCTACTTTTTTAGACCTCAGGTATTTCGATGTTCAAATTCCATCTCCAGGTTAGAGCGGGTCGGCTGCTTTGTGGATTTCGGTCGAAAGCGTTTCGGGTTAATGTATCTGGATATCGTTTCAGAACATAGCCGAGCCAGCTCCATTTTCATGCGAGAATTTCGGTCCATAGAGTTGCTGCATTTGTGCGCGACCATAAGTCCATGTCAGAGACGGTGAAGGAACAGAAATTGCTACAAATATTGCGAAAGTATCGGTTCGTATATAGTTCATATTAAATTCTTATATTACACCTTTTAATTAAGAAGAGATTTAATACAATAGCATAAACATCTCCATATGAAGCCTTGACCCGCTATATCTTAAATAGTGTCAATCGAACCAGACAAATACATTTCTCCTATCGAATTCAATTCATTCCATGTTACAATTTTAATGTTTAACAAGAGAAAATAGAAGAGAACTCTCTTGGTTAGAGACTTTAAGTGAATATAATAATTCTAACTCTTCAGCTCATTCCGTTAAGCTAACAAAACAATATGAGTTTTTAAAACTTTTAATGCCTGTTAACTCCACAAGCTTTTATGTTCGAAAGGGTATAGTGGCAGGCACTGTGCCATCAGTAAGTAGCAATATCCATGTTTGCTGTGCTACCTCGTGCTCACATCGCGTGACGCACTACATGCATTGCAACCCGTGTCGGACAGGACATGCGCTTGATATAATCTGATGCTAAACCAAGCGAGCAGCTGACTAGGCAAAGTAACCGCCTGACTGACGGCGCGGACAGCTTTTCTTGGCTGTGAATATTAACAATTGGAAGTGAAATTGTAACTTTTTGTAGCTTCGTCGACTCAATTGCCTACGTCTATCAAACAGAGTAGCAGCAATAATATTATATTGTCCGCTTTTGAATCTACATAAGTCAAGCGTTTTAAACATGTAAGCTATTGAAGACGGACCTCTTTGTGTGAAATAGTAATTTATGTTCGAAAATTTCTGGTAAAAAACATTTATGGTAAAAATCTGTACTAATCCAATCAAAAACCGATAAAAAAAGTTTAACTGAAATATCTGTAGCCACAGCTTAAATGCATATACTCGTATGTTTAAGTAAAACTTAATATGTTTTATCCCAAATTTCTTCATCCATTTGTCACATGTCGCATTACGGATATGCTATATAATACTATGATTTTCTTTTTTAATTGAAAATATAAAAATATTAATTTGAAATTAATTAAATTTTTTAAATATAATTATTTTATTTTTAATAAGTTTGCCACGTAGTTTGGAACACCCAGAACGCTTAGTCAGAGACCTTATAAAATATGTAGACATGAAAACGCGTTAACTTTGATTGCACCGAAGCTATAATACCCTACAAATACAAAATATCTCTTGCAGGAACTTGATTTTGATGGGTGCGTTTGTATGGCAGCTGTATTCTATACATAGTACCGCTACCCTGGACAATATTATAGCTAAATTTCGAGAAGATATCTCTTCAAACGAAAAAGTTTTCGATACAAGCACCTGATTCCGATTGTTCAGTTTGTATTGCTTCAGTGGTGCCATTTCGGTGGTTCCGACAAATGAGCAGCTTCGACTCAGCTGATGATTATTTATTTATTTCTGAATATTGGCGCAGATATAATAAAAATCGCAAGCAAAGCTTCATTTTATACAAGTAAACTATCTCAGTGCATTGCAATGGCTTCCCAATTTCTTAAAAGTCCTCCAAACAAAT